GGGTAGGGGGGGGGGCAAGTTCCCCTTCCCCTTTAAGGGGGGAAAAAAAAAAAAAAAAAAAAGAAGTATACTTGCCTCTACTTACGACATTTGCAAGCTCCCTTGCCAAAGAGAAAGTGTTGCTGGCTTCTTCCAGGATGTTCAGCCATCTTAATTTGTCAGAATGTCATTAATCCGGGCATGCTCACTGGAGTTAATACATTCCATCCGATGTACACCCAGCACCTGGAATAATACACTGTTGCAAAAGTTCAGCGTGCCCCACTAGATGCAGGCTGATACCCACTGCATCAATATATGGTTTGAAACAACCCCTTGTATATTTTAGTCCACTGCAAGAGACTGTGTGAACCAAAATACAGCCTTTTCTTGACTTTTTTTTGGAAGCTGAATCAGGAAAAGAAGAAAGTAGCTGCAGACCTGGTTTGACTTAGAGTGCATCCCTGACCCTCCTGAAACCCTATCAGAGCATGTTTAGAACCCCTATGGACAGATGGGTCGAGGAACTGGGCACAAACAGCTAGGAAGTCCCTATTAGATCCGGAGGTGACAAAGACACTGTAGGCAAGCAGTGGAGGGAGTTAGACTCCGAAGATCTATGCATACAGACTCCTAAGGCAAATGTGGTAGAGGGATGAGGCTCCACTGACCCTTGTGCAGATATCATGCACTCTGGTATGAGCATAATGTGGCTGTTCAAGGTGTTGCTAATGACCGTGACAAATGCCGGTCCAAAGAAACCTTAAAGGGAAGATGAATCAGCTGTTCTTTGAATGTCTCATCAGCGTCCCATGCACACAGACAGAATGCCCCTAAGCATTTGTATAGTCATTATTCCTATGCAACTTTCAGAAGCTTGTAATAAACATTCACCGCTAAGGCACAAGGCTCCAGACATCTGCATCAGCTGCTCCGTAGTGACTTACACCAGCAGTGGAAGGTTCCTCTCAAAGGAGTCTTTTATTACCTTCTGACATGGCTTGACCAATCAGAATTATCGCCAACACAGACTGGAGGGCCTAACCAGTTAACGTAAACTGGGTTTTAGGTCGGAATTCAACTTTTCAGTGAAGTCCCCAAAGGTAAGTATACCTTTTGACCCTTCTTGAGATAAATCGTTTAATGTGGATTACTGGAGCATCCACTTTGGTCATGGACCACCTATTACCGAATCCCTTTTCAAAGGGGAAACACCCTCACAAAGTCATACGTGGAGCCCTGGACCCCTTATGGTGTTTCCTGTCCACATTGAGGAAGTCTTCAAACAGCAGGTGTAGTGAGAATGTCTTGGCAGCCTTAAGAGCTCTTAAAGACTCAAGACCAATAACAGCAGGCTAATCCACCAAATGCAGGCTGATACTGACTACATCTAAATGGCAAGAGACTGTGTGGGCCAAAATACAGCCTGTCCTTGGTGTTTGGAATCTGAATCGGAACAAATTGTTGCTGCAGACCTGATTTGACTCCTGATTTCAGGAGTATCATAGATGGATGCCGTCAGAGCATGTTTGGAACCCCTATGGACAGATAGGGACTTTCTAGCTGTTTGTGCCCAACTACTGGACCCATTGGACACCAGTGCACATGGGGGAGGCCTTGGCCCCACCCAACCCATGGTGGTAAGCAACTAGGCCCGCTGTAAGGTAAGTCCAGCAAACCCAAGTAGCTGTTGCTAATTAGGGTCGCGGTCAGCCGGAGGTGACCAAGTCACTGTAGGCTAGCAGTTGGAAAGGATAATCCAGAGGTGCTTCAGAAACGGGAATAACAGAGGAATGGTGCTAGAGGAGTTCTCCGAGACCATGCCAAAGGCTGTGCCATGACTCTAAACATGGAGAGTGCTCTGCAAAAGGTCTGGAAAGCACCACAATGAAGATCCCATTTCCCAGTATGGCCTCCAAAGTTATTGCTGAGAATATCCTGATTCAGTTAGCTGCTCCTGTAGAGAACAAAAAAACCTGAGGCATGACAGTTGAGAGGGTAGTTTTAAAGGGGCTGGTCTTCAACATTGTTTTCGGTTTGCCAGTGTCCAAACCTCCTGAAGGCAGCATTTTATCATTCACATCACTTGTTTTAGACTTCCGGTGTTCCTCAATGGACAATAAGGAAATCTTTTGTTCAGGTTAAACAGTTGCTATGTATAGCTATATTACCTGAAGTTCAGAATTAAAGTGTATTTATGCTGTGGATATCAGATGTGAGAAATATGTAGAGAATATAAAAACTTGTGTCATAATGACAAAGAAAAGAAATCCAAGATTACTTTTCAAATCATTGACACCCAGTGGGATTGTGGGAAGATTTTAAAGGGATGGTTTTTGTAATCTGATTGGGATTTAGGTTTGCTAGATTATAAAGACTCAAGTTTGTATCAGTCTTAACTTCACTACATTTTTTTTAAGTTGTAGTTGGATTTTAGATTGTAGTAAAAGAAAACTCCTCTTATGCCAAAATTGACATATTTATAAAGGCTACACAATTAATTTTGTCTTTTTGACCTATGTATGGCTTTCTCCACCTGTCAAAAAGTAAAATGCATCTGCCTTCTTTACCAACCATATACAATTTGTAGTTAGCAATTCCCAGAATCCTCTACCGTTGTTCCTGTAATTGGCTCATTGCTTTTCTCAGTATGCACAGAGGTTACCTAAAGTGAGAGCCTGCTCCATAGATATAATATACTGCACAGTTTAATCACATGATCAGTCCAAGCTTTGTAATAAAGCACTATTGTAAAGGCAAAACCTCCTGCAAGTAGTAATAAACATATTTAGCAGGTGCACTGAAATGGCCTATGACAGAATCTGCAGATCTGGAACCTGTAGGAATTTACAGGAATATTTATCTAAAATGATTTAAATGAAAATGGTTAACCTTTATTACTTTACTGTCCATTGAGGGACACGACGATGGTTGACAATCTTGGACCAGTTGCCATCAGGAAGTAGGGACAATGGCAAACAAAAGTTAAGCCCCCCTCTGCTGATGGAAGTTTCATCAGCAGAGCTAGGAAGAAAAAAAAAAAGCATCCAACTGTCTGTTTTTCAATTTTCTTCATCTGTGCAATCATTAATAGAATGTTTTTGAATTACAAAGGTTGTGAGAAAACACGCATTGTGAACACTTATTTGGTACGCCATTACATCAAAAACGTGGTATTTAAGCCGGATACAAACTATGGTATGTGAGGCAACCTTTATATTTTTGGAAAAGAGGATGAGAAAGGGTAGCAAACAGAGAGGGAAGGGATCAGAAAATTGCTGGGGGAATAGGCAATAGTGCAGCCAGGAGCAAATCACAACAAATTAGGTTAAGTGGTGAGAGCATTTCAGTTTGAGCAAATGCCAATAAAAGTCGGTTGGTAGAAAGCTGGAGACCCATGGTTCCCAGACCTGTCACAATTTGGGCATAGAGACCAGTAATTTAGCTGTTAGTTCTTCATTGTTAAGGGTCCAAAGCAATCTATTTTTTACTTCAGTGCAGACCTCTGGATAACCCTGCCTTAGCAATTGTCAGTTTCCTGGCTGTTAGGGCATAAGTATGACTTGGTGCCTGGAGTTGTCCTCCGGTTTCAAATTGATCAATGCCTTGCATGGGTTCATAGAAGTGGGCGTTGAAGAAGGGTATGTAACATATCGTAAACCTGAGACCAGAACCACTGGACAATTGGGCAGGTCCTCCATAAATGGTAGAAAGTGCCCGGCTCCAGAAAGCCACAGAAAAAATGTTTGGGCATAGTTTAAGTTCATGCGGGAGAGGTGGCAGGGTACAATGTATCCCCCCAAGTAGCACTTTATAATTCAACTCTACATCTGATGTGTTGCAGGAATGGTATTTGGTGGTGTCCCATATCTGGACCCAATCAACATCTTCCAGGGCCAACCCCAGCTTAAGCTCCCAATTGCACACATAGGTGTGGGGTTTCAGAGTACATTTAGATAAAGTATTATACAAAGAAAGTAAGCCTGGGGAGTGGGGATCATCTTTGCATTTAGAGTCATACTGGGTGATCGTCAACCGCTTGCCAGGGATGCAAGCTTCTAGTTTCTTTTATTCTGTCAACAAACTCTGTACTCTTTAATTGTTTTTCTCATCAGCCAAGAAGTCTAATATGCTTTAAGCTGGTCACAATACAGCAGTGATCTGGATCAGCATATCCTCAACAATAGCTTTATGTAGTACAGCCTCTGGTGCAACCCAGTCCGTGATGACTCCTTTTGTGAATATGTCTCTGATAGTAGAGAAGATAACCTAACCTGGATTGTCACTTTCAAACTCTACATTGTGGGAATTCAAAACCTAGTTTTGACCCAGTCTCTGAACTTTTACGTCTGATTCACTGATGGGGTTAACATATCCTGAAGACCACATCTTTATTGACTTAGAGAAGTGTTGTAAAACCATTGAAATCACTTATATTTGAAAGCCTGAAGCCACCTTAACTTCCTGTGTTGGAGACGAATCAGAAGATAAGAGGTAATATCCCCTATGTGAATAAAATTGCCATTTTGGAGCGTTGTCATGGGATCAAGTGTCCTAAGTGGAGGATTTTTCATAACCTCTTGCTCGAAAGACTATTCAAATGTTTTGGATATCCCCAAACTTTCTTACTCAGTGACACTGGTCATCAGGAAGAATGGAGGATAAAAAAAACACTAGCGGGGACACAGGCAGCCTGACAAAGGGTCTTAACCTTCGCTATCCAAAACTAACAAAAAAGTGTTGCCTTTACATCTCATTCTGTACAATGCCCCAAACCCATCCCCACCAAAAAAAGCTCTGTCTGGAGTTGTGCTTGAAGTGCAATAGGTAAAAGTGATTGCGCTGAGTGGCTGAACAGAATAACAAATGTTTTGGCAGGTAAAGCATTTTCCAGCTGTGAATTCAGTGGCTTGCCTGAATTAACTTTGCGGAACGCTTTAGGTGTTGACACAAAGTTAATCTCCGTATATTACCAAATACTTTTTGCACAACGTCTCTATGGACAAATCCAACTTACCTAAAGTACAGTGAGGACCAACTACATATTTTAATAAATATTTATTTTAAATGTATATTTCTTCCTTGCTTAAATAAACATTGACAACATTTTATTCAACATTCAACTAGAAAAGTTTGGAAAAAATCTGTACCGCATTTCCTGTAGCTTATACAATGGTGGTTCAGAAGTGTAAACACGTAAAACTACTCGTCTGGATGACAAACTACAAGTCACCAGTACAACTATAACAGGCCATTTTATGAACCTTGCTGAAAACAGTATTCCAAGTTGTAAATACCTCATCTGGGGTATCAATTCAGGAGTTTCGCTGCACTAGAAGGAAAGGACATTTTAAATTCTTTTTTTATATTTTTAATATAAACATTCTTTAAAATCACCCTCAAAATACCTATGATCGGTTCATATTAGAAACCACTGTGCTTTAGTCGGTCCATTGTTATTCCAAAGCTACTTCTCTTTTCCTGTGTTCCCTTTCAGCTTCCCGAGTGTACTCCTTAGGGCAAACCAACGAAGCCTACTGAAAGCCCTTTATTAAACAAACCTATGTGTCACTGCATTGCAAATAATGCAAACTGAATACATTTCCATTTAAATATTTGCTACACATTTAATTAGCCCTAAGTACAAGTGATGACAGGCCCAGTGACCCATTCCATTCTTTGCTTTTCTACATCTTGCAAGTGCTGCAGATTGGCAGTTGCACACAGTGAAGTGAAAGAACGGATATAATAACTTCTATTCTGTAACACACATGTAAAAAAAAAAAAACTGTTTGATGGAATAATTGGGACTGTCCTGAGCATCACTTACTGCATTTTGTTTTAGTCGTCAGCCATCTGCCCTGTACATTTTGTGTATATTATTTCATTAAAAATGTGCAGGCTTCAATTCCAGGCAGATCATTACTTAACCAGCAGGTAATAAGAAGAATGAAATAGAAGGAGGGTATATTACAGCAGGAGAGATGGGACAAACCTGTTGAGAATGGGAGTTTGCTGATTCTTTGTGCCAAAGTCTCGTGGAAACTGACTATGCAAAAATTGAACCTTATTGAACCTTAATGAACAGAAAGGACAATGGTAAAAAGGACTATCCTTTCTTACGCTAACACCTATATTTAAATATTTATTTAAGCCAAGACCAGAAAGGAATATAAAAGGTAGGCTATTGCACATGCAGTTCTGACCAGTGTTTCATAGGTACATGGAAAATTCTGCCTTCCAATAGGGAATACCCTGACATAAACATAACAGGACAACTTTTTAGGTAACACGAAGTATTGGACCAAGAGGTAAGAAGTGGTTTCCTGTCACTGTATATGGTGTCCATCGCCAGGCTGAGACAAGTTGGTTCTCTGTAACAGTCCAACATTTGTATTGGGATTACTAGTCTTTCCGTACTCGTCTCTTCCTCAAGGATTTCTTTGTGTTGTCTCCAGAGTCCGCACCTTCATCTGCTTCTTTCATCTGGTAGGCAAGCAAAGATGTCATGTTATGCCAGAACATTTCAAAGTCCAGTCTAATTAAAAAGTAGGGGATTACGTACAGCTTTTGTACACATGGACATTGCCTTGTATGACAGCCGTGTGTAAAACAATCTTTCATGAAACATTTGCAAAGCTTTCATTAAGCTGCTAGCAACCTCATTGGAGTCTTTAAAGGGACCTTCAGCTCCCACTGGGGGAGGTTTCACTTTAAACAAGTTGCCCACCTCCCCCCCCCAGCAACACTTACTCACTTTCCATTTGCTCATCCACAGCTATTGATGCCTGCAGGAGCAAAGAGGAGAAGCCTCATGTAAGCCTAAAGTTGCTCCCGCTGGTCGAACTCACACAGGGCTAGGGACTCCTTTCTTGCACCCATGTGACACTTTTGGTGCTTGCAAATCGGCAGATCAGCCACTCAGCAATGCATTGTGGGAGGAAGGGGAGTGAGTCACATGTCCCTATAGCCAGAAGTACCAGGTATTTCTCTTTGCTCCCACCACTGAACAAAGCAGTGAAGAAGCAAAGAAAAAGTGAGTATGTGCTGCTGGGGAGGGTGGCCGTGCTTCACCCTGTAGTGTTTTCCAAACATTTTCTCAAGCCCCATCAGCAGTTCATACTTTGTGGATATCTACTTGAAATAGCCAAGAAATCATATTTCTACGACACTAATGGCTTTGACTGCTCCTATGAGAAGGTACATGCAAAGCATACACTTTTAGAGCATGTTTACACCATGCACAGACAAGGTGATTTGCCTGCTTTACTATCGAGTCAGTCCACACCACTGCGTTGTGGATATGCAGTACTTGGGTGAATAAAACGGAATGAAATGTCACCTTTTGGAAAAAGAATAAAAGGTAAACAATGCAATGCACTGAAATTAGCACATTGTACTGCTTCTTAACAACACACACCACTAATAGTGTCCTGGTGGTGTAAATGACCCTAAGTAGGACCCGAGGACAGGATTGTATTACTTGACATTTCCATGTTGTTCTCCCATGATGTCTTGTGCTGCCTACACCTAAACAGTCTAGCAAGGTCAAAACATTTCCTAAGAGAAATCTGGCAGCTATCATTGCTGACACCCCTTCTAGAAATGACTGTCTGTTATGTTGAACCACTAACTTCAATGCTTTCATAGTCACTGACCCAGAACAAGTATGTAAATAAGGAAAGTCAGAAGTCCATATCTGCTCTGGGTTAGTAACTTAAAGTGTTAAAGACAGAGTATCAGCACGACCAACTCACTTTTGCAGAATGAGAAGTCAGCAATGGCAGCCTATATGTTTCTTGTTTCTCTCAGGAAAGGTTTGAATTCAACGTGGGTGGTTTTGGGATACCCATTTTATTTAACCTTTTCTTCCAGCACCATAATATCCATTTGCAAATAACAAACTGCAGGTTAAATATATACAGAATTAATGATAAACTATATCTATATCTGACATGTGCTGGTCACTGACCTCATCATCTGAAGACTGATCTACTGCATCACCAATCTCCTCATCTTCTTGACTGAATTCTTCATCTTCCTCCTCTTGTTCTGTCCTTTCATCATCTTCAGTCTCTAGAAAAGGGCAAATCATCTTTAGAATAAAGATATGCTGCCGTATTTCAAGAACAACTTATAAAGTATTAAAGCAGTGTTAATAGACTTTGTAAACTGCCAGTATTCAGGTGCAGGATGGATTTCCTGCAATGTGTGCCTAGCAGACCCACTAACCATCACACCTTCATTAACAACAGCTCAAACGCTCAACATTAGGGCAACGCAATATCTCAAAGGAGGACAGAAGTGAGGAATCACTAATGACTGGCATTCACTGGAGTCCATTTTGTGAGTAATGTAGCATTTTCGCTGTGCTTCATCCTACCTCTAATCTACAGGCCAAAGTATTTTTTTTTTTAATGATAGGGGTTTTATTTTACCTTAGTTTTTATTGCTGTTGATAACCCAGTTACTGAGATTTCCCATCACTTCCTGTTCAGTCACTGGGACACAGAGCAAAACAAACTTCCACAACGGGGAGACAGTGATAAAAGGACTTTTATTGAACAGTGGAGAAGGGTTGGTATCTGCTGTCTATGTCCCAATTAGGAAGCTTCCCCTAAACTTGCTTTGTGATCCTTAACACAAGTGGGGAAAATCTCTCCAAAGGGGGCACAGGTAGCATTAACCATGACAGAATTTCTAACCCTACCCCGCTCTAGCTAAAACTAAAAAACAAATGTGGCTGGATTACCACTTAAATCACTTTGATCTTTTCTGCTTTTTGCTGATCCTGTGGATCCACGGAACCATTACTGATATGACATCACTAGAATAACATTAGGCTGGCCATTCATGGCAGAAAAAAAGAAATTGCATGTAAGGTTTGCAACAATTAGGTGGTTTAATGGTGCAGGTACAAGAGTTTCCTGTCTTTTAAGGTCAAACGGAATAAGGGTGGATTCACACTAGCACAATTCGTTGTGGTACCATTTATTCTGAAGTTTAAAAAAGAAAAATGCCCCTGCACTATAGTACACTCGAATGCACAGAAGTAAATGTGCATTGTGCAAAGCATTCTCAATATAGTGCATGTACGTTTTTTCTTGCATTGACGCAGCTTGAAAGACCAATTCAATATGAATGGGTTGCCTTAATGAATGTCACATCATCATGGTGCACTAATTCACACATAGGCGTGAATGGGTTCTAAAGCTTTTACTGAGTGTGCGACATGTCCATCCACCAACCGAAATAGGAAAAAGATCAATGGCAGATTCAAAAAATTTTTTAGGATGGACTGATGGCTCACAGCCTGTCATTCTAAGGAGGATACTGCCAGGCTTTCTTACCCTTTCTTGCCAGTTGAGCTGCAGCCTGTCTTCTCTTGCAGTGTGTCTGACATTGTTAGTCCCTTTTTGGCGCCCTCTTATGACCAAAGCCGTAAACATCATCATTCTGCAACTACTAGCAAACTCCTGACATCTTCCTGTCTTAGAATGAAGGATCCACCTGATCCCTCTGATCAAAATGTTCAATGATGCTATGCCAGGTCACCAAGTATCATCTATCCCGGTGTTCTACAATCTGAGTCGTCCTGTCACCATAATAGTCAACTTACCTTTGTCGTACTGAGTTTCTGACGTGGCCCCCTCTAAATCTTGCTGGTTCTCCTTGGTCAGATCTTTCTGGAGCTCAAAATCATTTTCATCAGATTCTATAAAATCACTCATGGAGAAATCTGCATCTTCTTCTTCCTCAATTTTCTAAAATGACACGGGAGTAGTTACAGCTGTATGTGCATTGTATTATTGGTGTGTTTCCTCTCTGTGTGTGATTTTCTAGATTTCAGTTGTGCAATTCTTTCTGCAATCCCTAGAAACCCCTAGTTGACTTCATTGTCAACTGAAAATTCCACCACAGACTGTGTTGTTCTAACAGTGAATGCAGAAAACTCCATTTATTACCCCAAATCGAATTGAATGTTATAATCATACGGAATTTCATATAACATTAGTCAGTTCTCTGGATTCATTACTGAATGTTCTGAAAAATGAACGTTCGTAGAAAAATCTAACGGTGCATGGCCAGATTTTCAGTTAATCCCATAAATGACAGGACTGTGGGAGTTCACATCCCACTCTACTAAATTGTATAAGTACTTTACAGCAATTCAGGCTCTCTGGAATCAGAAAGAGGCATGTCTGACAAGATTTTTCATATGAATGTTTGTTTTTCATATGAAATCTACTAATGTACAGCCAGCTTCAGTTGAGGTGGGGTCAGTGGCGGAACTACCGCCGGTGCAGGCAGTGCGGGCGCCCGGGGCCTCAGGCTCTGGAGGGGCCCAGCAAGTTGCCGGCCGCCGGATCGTTATCCAGCGCGCCCCTGGTCTCTCCGCCGGGAGTGTCGGATCATCCGACACTCCCGGCCAGTGTTGTAGCGAGGGGGGGCCGGGGGGGACCGCTGACCTGCGGCATCAGACGCGGCTCTGTATTCGGCCGCTCCTCTAGTGGTTCCTCTGCAGGCCCCTGCGGTCTGTCCTCTACAATGCCTGTTTAGAAGGCTGCGTCTGCCTGATCCAGCTAGTATGCGATTCGGGCTGGCTGGATCAGGCAGAAGCGGCCCTCTAAACAGGCACTGTAGAGGACAGACCGCAGGGGCCTGCAGAGGACCCACTAGAGGTCACCTGATTACAGAGCCGCGTCTGCCGTCTGATGCGTGCGGGCGGGCTGAGATGGCAGATGGAGAGGGACAGAAAAAAAGAATACAGGAGGGGGACCCGGGTGCAGATGGCAGAGGTATGGAGCAGCTGCGGCCACAACAGACCCCCCCAACCAGGAAGCCCCCACGGACCGCCAGGCTAAGGTAAGGTGACATTTTTAACATATAAAAATCATTTTTTTTTTTTTTTTAATAAAACATCCCCATGATCCGATCCACCGACAAGCGCAGTGTTCCTCCTCTCACGCTGCCAGAATATGCATACAGAGCGTGTCGGTTACTATTTAAACCGGCGCGCTGTGTGCAGCTTCTGAGAAGATACGCTATTAGCGCAGCCGGCTTCATCGCTATGCTAATAGCGTATCTTCTCAGAAGCTGCACACAGCGCGCCGGTTTTAAATAGTAACCGACACGCTCTGTATGCATATTCTGACAGCGTGAGAGACGGGAGTCTGCGCTTGTTGGTCGTTCCAGGGATCAGGTGAGTATTAAAGGGTTATTAGATATATGCTAAAAGTTTTTTTTTTTTTAAACAAAACGTTTTAACAGCGGTTTAAACTTACCCCGTCTTCGCTGCGCGCTCCTGTCTGAAAACCCGAGACTGCTCGGGCGGCCACAAAGCATCTTGGGCCGGCGCATGCGCAGTTCGGATTTTCGGGCGGGAGACGAGGAGAGACGCAAGGTAAGTATACGGACGCATGCACCTGCATGCAGACACCGTGGGACAGGAAGTGCCAGCAATGACAGAGGAGTCAGCGCTGGATCGGAGACCCGCCGCACCGACACTTTGTTCCTTAGCTCCGCCACTGGGTGGGGTACCAGGAGTCATACCATTACTCCTGGATCCTGAAGGAACATGTGCCCAAATCAATGAATTAGTGATTTGAGAAATAAAGTGTAACAGATATGATGTACTACAGGGTGTCCTGTAAAACAGTGAGCTGTACAGAAACTGAGAGCGGAGTAACTGTCAAGGTACTCGCAGAGTACCCGCCAGAAATCCAAGAATATTTCTGGAAATTCCTACCAGGACTTCTAGAATGCCTGCCAGTACCTCCCCAATGGTACTCGCAAATCCCTGACAGTACTTCTAATAGCTCTCACAGAATCTCCACCAGTATTTCCAATGGCAGTTTCAGAATCCGTGCAAAAACTTGATGATGCTGGGCATGTTCTCTGATCCAGAGGGGTATTAAGCATCAACGCTGGAAGTGGCTGGTGCTGGGTCTTTAAACCAGCTGCCCCGTTTGGTGCTAAGGGCCTTATTACTGAAGTCTGTTCCTCTCTGCTTGCCATCTGCCTTGACCCCTGCCTGGACCTGACTATGCTCTCTTTTCCTGTCTTATCAACTATTATTGGTTGCTGACATGGACTGCCTGACCACTATCTGCTCATTGCTTGGCAAGACAGTGGCTTACTGCCCTGTGTCTTGGCACCGTAGCCTTTCTGTCCTCTTGGTGGGGTGATCTTAAGGGCCATGACCTGGTACCAGCCCACAGCAAGAGCCTATGTCCACCATCAAGAGCTCTGGTGAAGACCAGCTGAAGCTTGGACCCTGCACCTTGGGTAAGCCGTCATCTGACAGGAGTTGTCGCCCTAACAATGTATAACTCATCTAACTACAGTATCCTGAAATCCGGTGAGACAGTACCATTCTCTGATGTCTGATATGTTTTTTATACTACTTAGTGAACTATGTTCCATAGTTACTGGGCTAACAGCTGTGAACCCATTTTCAGTACAGCATTGTGACAAATTAGCTATTAACTCCTAACCTGCAGTGACGAGACATATTTACTTGGAGGTGTTGTAACTGAAGGTAGAACAACACGTTATAGACTGAAAGTGATAAACCTTTTCACACTATGGATGTACATTTCAAATAAATAACAATACTCATATTATTTTCCCTGTCAGGTTCCATTTATATAAGAGACGCAAAGACCAAAAGATCAAGCTTAAAAGCAAAAACCTACAGACACCGAGAAAAATGACTTTACTGGAACTACTTTTTTTACGGCCCTATAGCCTGTTTAAGTAGTTTCTGATCATTCTCACCTTTCTGGGCCAGCAGAATAGGACCAGTAATCCTACAGGAAGAGCAGCTGTCAGTAAGTACAAACCCCAGAGCCATGGCCTCTCATCAGCAGCAGCTAGAAGCTGGTTTATCATGCCTGGCTGGAGAGAAACAGAATGACAACATTAACTGCAGAGTACAAGAGAAAGCATCTTCCAGTACAAGAAGCTGAACTGGTTAGAACTTTACACTAGACCTCAACAGGAAAGGATCATCAACCTGCAGGCCCTTGGCTTTACTGCTTCATGTCTGTGATGGTGGTTACCTACCACGTCTTATTGGAGACATAAGATCATAGCTTAATGTGTTACCCAAATGCTATTTGTTTTTAGTTTCATGATTTATTTATTTATAAACAAAAAAAGGCTTCATAAAAACACATATATTTCAAAATAACAAATGTAGCTCATTTTGTTAATTTGTTCTACATATCGCTTAAAGTAGAGATGAACCCAAAAAGTTGGTTTTAGTCTTGGATAGATTAAGGGAGGGTTATAACCTTTCTCTTCACTTCCTGTCCTATCATCACAACAGGAGGTGAGAGTAAATCTTTCCAAAGTGAGTGAAATCCCTGGCTGTCATCAGATTTAGTGTCCACATTGGATAGATTTCCCCTCTCTCTCAGGTAAAATGGTCACCAGGACAAACAGAGAGGGTGAATCTCCCTAACGGGGACACAGAAAGAAACAAAAACCAGAGAGGTGTTCCAATCGCTCTCCACTATATCCAAAACTACAAAAAAAGTTTGGGCTTTAGTTCTACTTTAGGCACCCGGGCCTCTGACTGCTAAAAGGAAAACTTCACTTTCATTAACAGTTTTTCCAGCATACTGTATATGTGTCATTTATTTTTGATACCTTTCCTTTTCACCATGCAGCCTATCATGGCTCTTTAAGCCCTCGTTCACACCTGAACGTTTTGTAGCGCGTTCCACGCTCGACGAACGCTCTACAAAACGCTCAAAAATATAAATCCCATTGTATTCAATGGTCTCGTTCCCACCTTGGCGTATTTCCGCCCGTCCCTAACGCGCTACAAAACGGCCCACGCCTGAAAAGGTACATGTACTACTTTGGGCCGTTTTGTTGCGCGTTTCCATTGGGATACAGCCAAGTAGCCTTCGGAAACGCGCGTTTGTCACACGACTTTACCGCGAATCGCTGTAAAAAACGCGCGCCAGTCGCGCAACAGACGCGCATATGCAATACACCTAGGTGTGAACGAGACCTGAGACTAACACATTTCTTTTTTTTTTTGGAATTACAGCATAAATATTTACTTTGCTAGATGCCAACATCACCATCTCCTTGCTCTTGTAATTGGTTCACTGGCTATCCATAACGTCTGCATTGAGGTCAAATGATAGACAGCCCAGTGTATAGAATAAGCCAACGATGTACTTAGGTGACCTGCACAAGGAGTCGTAATTCTGTCTGTGCCCGTTTTTTACATTACGCCTGGAATTTCTACTAGTGAGTTATTTGCATTATTAAAGGCATGCTGATGTTGCAATGTTTCTTTGTATAACACTGGGAGTGATAATGTGATGATTGAAAAGACAGAACATACAGTACCTTACTTAGGCTATTAAATATTTCCAATAAAGCATATATAGCTGACAAGGGTTTATTTTCTAAAAATGGATGCTTTCCCTCTATGTCCTTAGTATAATAAATACTTACATTTTAGTTTTTCAAACATATTTTTGCCTTATTATACAAAAACCTGCGCGGTTTAGCCAAGTTGCTTAAATGCAATCAGCAAAAGGTCCCTGCCAGTACTTATATCACACTCAGAATCATGCCTGTGACCCCAAGAAGCTTTTTAGACCCCACTAGGAGACTCAACTTCTGCGGCTTAGAGCTGTATAATCACTCTTCCTTGCTGTCCATAAACCAAGACCTCATTCAATGGCCAATCACAGCATGCTAATTTTGGGGGCTTTTGTGGGGACAAAGGCAGAGTTCCACATTGGGGAAGTCATGACCTCTACTCATTTGGAACGGTTCTTAGGGAATGTTTTGAAGCATTATCAAAGGTAGCTTTTGGTATTATTATTATACAGGATTTATATAGCGCTAACAGTTTGCGCAGCGCTTTACAATATAAGAAAGACATTACAATCACAATACAATTCAAGACAAGATGGTAAGGAGGGCCCTGCCCCTGAGGGCTTACAATCTAAAAGGGAGGGGGAAGTGATACATGAGGAGGTAGCTGTGTGGGGATGAATTGTTTGAGAACGTGATGGTTGAGCGGTTAGGTTGAGATGGGATAGGCTTCCCTGAAGAGATGAGTCTTAAGGGATCGCCTAAAGGCAATCAGAGTGGGAGACAGACGGACAGGTTGGGGTAAAGCGTTCAAGAGGATGGGAGAGACTCTAGTCAAGTCCTGGAGGTGAGCATGGGAGGAGTTGACGAGGGAGCTGGAAAGCAGAAGGTCTTTTGAAGAGCGGAGGGGACGGTTAAGGTGATACTTTGAGACCAGGTTTGAGATATAGCTTGGGGCAGAGTTGTGGATGGCTTTGTAAGTCATTGTTAATATTTTGAATTTTATCCTTTGGGCTATTGGAAGCCAGTGGAGGGATCGGCATAGGGGAGTGGCAGACACTGAGTGGTTGGTTAGGTGAAGGAGTCTAGCAGCAGCATTCATGATAGACTGAAGGGGGAATAGCCTGTGTAGAGGTAGGCCAATAAGGAGGGAGTTGCAATAGTCGAGAAGTGAGATAACAAGTGAATGAATGAGTAGTTTTGCGGTTTCATTGGTGAGGAAGGGGCGCATTTTGGAGATGTTACGAAGGTGAAGGCGGCAGGATTTGGATAGTGATTGGATGTGGGGAAAGAAAGGTGAGGTCAGAGTCAAGGATGACACCCAGGACCTTGGCATGGGGGGATAGTTGTGTTATCAAGCTCAAGGGAAAAGTTGGGGGAAGGTGCACGGGTGGGAGGAAATATCACAAGCTCAGTTTTTGAAAGGTTGAGATTTAACAAGTGTTGCGACATCCAGACTGATATGTCAGTTAGTAGATAAGTGACACACAAGGACACTGAGGTGATGAGTTGTGGAGTAGAAATATATATTTGAGTATTAGAGATAGAGATGGTATTGGAAACCATGTGAGGTTATTAACTGACTAGGGGAGGAAGTGTAGATGGAGAAGAGGAGGGACCCCTAAAGAAAGAGGAAGAGTAAGGGAGGAGTTAGATTTGTAGGTGACACTAAAGGAGCGCTTAGATAGGTAGGAGGAGAACCATGAGAGAGCAGAGTCTTGTAGGACAAGCGAGTGGAGTTTTTTTGAGGAGCAGCGGGTGGTCAACAGTGTCAAAAGCAGCAGAAAGGTCTAATATTAAGAGTAAGTAGTAGTGGCCGTTGGTTTTAGCTGTAAGTCATTAGTGAGATTTAGGAGGGGGGTTTCAGTGGAGTGTAGAGGGCGAAAGCCGGACTGTAAGGGGTCAAGGAGGTTGTTTTCAGCAAGGTAGCGGCTCAGGCGGCTGTAGATAAGCGTTCTAGGAGTTTGGAGATGAATGGGAGTAAGGAAATTGGTCTGAGATTGTTAAGGTTGGTAGGGTCCAGTGAGGGTTTTTCGGGTATTGGGGTGACTAACGCATGTTTTAGAGGGGAGGGAAAGATGCCAGTAGAGAGTGAGAGATTGAAAATTTGAGTAAGAGAGTGTAGGATAGAGCAAGAGGGTGATTGGAGTAGTGGTGAGGGAACTGGGTCCAGGGGGCAAGTGGTGAGGTGGGTGTCAGAGAAAAGCTTTGTTACCTCCTCTGTGGTGACAGTGTCAAAAGAGGAAAGTAATAAGTGTGATAGTGGGTCTGGTACATCAATAGGGGAAGTTGATTGGACAGTGGCGATATGATCCCGAATTGTATCTATTTAGTTTTTTAAATTATTGGCATTGACCTGGGCAGTGAGTGAGTTAGTGGGCGGTGGAGGTGGAGGACATAGTAGAGAGTTAAAAGTAGAATAGATTCGACGTGGTCTGGATGAGAGTGTGTTAATGAGAGTTACAAAATAAGTAAGTTGGTACCATTTAATCAAGCATTAGTGAAACTCCAGTCAAAATACTTCATGAAACTTGGTCAACGACCCAACAAGCTTGCTGACAAGACAATAATGGAGCAGCAGTAAACTGATCCATTTAACGGTGTGCTCTACCCTCATGTGAAAATTGTAACAACTTCACATTGAAATCCCAAGATCTAATGTACAATTGCCTGGAGCATCAGTTGTAAATAAGTTTACGTTTTGGATCTCAAAAAACATATTTTCTGTGGCAATGTATTGCGTAAATTACTTTTTGCGAACTTCAATTACTATGATTTCTAATAAAGTTCCAAGGCAAAGCTTGTACACCACTGTGCAATCCTTTCAATCATCATACAGTATGGTCTAAACTCTAAACTCTGAACTACACCTGCCTAATGGAAAGCATCTAAATTGGCAGAGTAATGTACGCTTTGTCATCTGCATCCCCAGCTAAACTGAAACATTAATGCTACCTGCTGAAGCTGAATAAGCAAATACGGGAATAGGCAAATACCCGTCATGACTAAAGTGCTATCAGAGGCTTTTGAACCCCCTCAGCAATAATGTAAAAGTTTTAAAACATAACGTTAAATAAAATAAATGTAAAAACACCCAAAAGTCCCCTACCCCCGCATACACGCACATACTAGCACAAACGCGCGTCAGGTGCACTTACCTACACCACCTATCAACCTTTTTGGGTACCGTCGTTTTTTTTGCCCACAGTTTTGAAGCTTAACATGTTTGGTATCTAGTTACTGTACTCAGCGAAACCTCACACTTTATATGTTAACGAAAATTGGGTAGCATATTTGGGTAACATTTTTGTTTATGTGCACTAAAATTAGCATAAGTGTATTTTTTACTGAAAATTTGGGGTTGATAAACAGTTGTGCCAATATCATGTGACAAACAATTGCTACATCCACCATTTCATTCTTCAGTGTCTCTGCTTTTAGGAAATATGCATTTTACGATGAGAAATCACTAAAAACTCCCATTCATGGATGTACTTTATCAAGTAGCTTATCCTGTAAAGTACCTCATTAGCACTGGCTACCAGTTTCTTCAGTCCCCAGCTATCAGAGGCCCAACGGTCAGCCACCTCCTTCTCAGAGCAGATTATGAAGTTGTCAAAGTAGATGTCAGGAGTCATTGACCAAAGTTCCAACCCAATAGCGCTAAAGGTCGCCATTTTAAATGGGTTAAGGTCTTCAAAGTAGTATGGGTTGGGGATTTTACGTGGTTTCCAAATACCCTGTAAAAAACAAAATCAATATCAAAAGCAGGAATAATTTCCAATAGTCACATACTGTGTGAATTCTAAACAGGCGATGTTCTGCGTTTTACCAACTAGCTTCAGTGTAGTCGCTTATCAAATTCTCTCCTTCTCACTGCTTTGTGACTACAGTATTTGCTTACTGAATATATAGACAGCAGTACTAAAATACGTGCATCGTAGATATTGCTGTCAAGGAATAACTTGTACCAGTTTTATCAGAAGATTTAGCTGAAAGCTAAATAAACCTGCAGCTGGGAGGAGAAATCTTTTATGTGTTAGAGAAAGGTAGAACACTAGGTGCTAATCTGTAGTAAGATTTATGTTCATTGCCTGGTAATTTGGGTTCTCAATCATAGGAGGTTTCCATTTTCCCTTGTAATCTGGATTGTCCATGAGAGGTGGACTCCATTCCCCACATCCAGGAGCGGTTTTGCACTTTGGGTTTGGAACCAGAGGGGCTTGCCATTCTCCATCCATGTCAACATTCCTGCCAACAATAAGAGTAAATCCCATTACTGTGATGATTACGGAACATAAGATACGAGGCACAAAGACAGATCGTTGCCTTACTGAGGAACTTTACCCACCAATTTATTGTATCCCAAAACAGTTAACTTTGAAGGTATGCCAACTGTCAAGGTTATTTCAGCTCTCAATCAAACTTTCAAGCCCTCAAATGGTTGGTCATTTGACTGTAAAAGATATGAGGGTGTAGTTCTGCTTTAAAGGAAACCTGTTATCAGAGAAATATCAAGGCAACCACTGATTATTTACTTCTGCAAATGCCAGTTTCCCTAGCTGTCATGATGACTCTGCCTTCTGATCAACTGATTTGGAACAAATAGGAGTGCTACTTGGCTCCGACTTTAATTACTGCATACACGTTCCAGGTTAAAAAGTATTGAAAAAGATAGGAAGCTAACATTATCCGAATTTAAATAAGAACCCCAGTGGAGCAACATTGCAATGTAAAGAAAGCAGGGGGATATACATGGACAGTGAACACTGGCTGATAAAGAAGAAATAAGTTTTCTTCAAAGTCTTTCCACCAGAGGGGGGCAGCAGTGGATATAGAAGTCTTCAAGAAATAGGCTACACAAACCATAGCTAATTCTTCAGAAAACTATACTGAGCCTTTTCACCAAGAGGTACCAACATTATTTTATGTACGGAAAACTGATTACATCCATAAATCAACCCACAATTCAAATTCTGTCTTATTCCGAAGATGGCTTAGAGAGCTTTTGTAATGTGCAACATTCATTTTAGCAGTAGCAGCCAATAAGAATGCTTGCCTTTTCCCTTTGACTAAGCCCAATAGTCTCAAAAAGATAAAAGAAGTCAACACTGATTTCTTACCAGTCACTTGGTTTATGAGCCTCTGGGTCGGACATCAGGTGAGATTCATCATCCAGCCAACCATCTGGTTTCACAGCATTGGGATCTTCTATTTTAATAGGTCCACCTTCATCCCTTTTGTATATATATTTATATTACATGAACTTAATGACAATCAAAATAGATTTCTGTTAACATGCCCAGTAACGGGTATAAAAAAAAAAATAAACGACTTTCTGCTGTTGGATTAGCTTTTACAGAACAGACACATAGACATGATCATATACCACACATCGCCTGGACATTGGCAGATCCTGAAGACAATTTAGGTATCAGGCAATGATTAGTTAAGGTCTGTGGGTACCTTGACTATTGCTGTTGTTCACAGCAATACATCAAATGTCATGTTCTAGATAGAGCAGATTATGAGATCTGACTGGTTACAGCACACAACACCTCCATGCTACTTTATGATTTAATTTAGGGGATAACAGCAGTTCACAGAAAATGATATCAATGACTACTAATTTGTTCTTTTGACTTAACTGCTCTCAAGTATTCATCTATTCAAAATATATTTTAGGCCACATGAAGTAATCTTACCAGTCTTCTGGTTTTACTGCATCGGGATCTGGAATTTTGACCCGCTCATCCCACTCTTCTGGTTTTTTATCCTTTGGATCATCTATTTCCTTTGGCGGATTTAACGGTGGGATGACATCCTCCAAAAGGCTTCCTTGACTAACAACTGTTTGATCAATAAGGATTTCAAAGGTGTTCTCTGGTCTCAGAACTAGATAACAAAAAGAACATCAAACACCACAATCAGCATGGACATCTGGATTTTTACAAAATTCAAATGTTTTTTAGCTCTGAAGATGCAATCTGGTTTCATCTTCATAACACTCCTTACAAAGAAAGCTTAGGTAAAGGTTACCTTATACCTGATTAGAGCTTAAACCATATGTCAAAACAATTAGTAGATCCAAAGATACAGACAGCTGACATTGTATACAAATCTTCATATTTCCTGTTAAACTTGATCTTGATCCTGCCCTCTCACCACTTGAGCCTTCCTATTGGTCAATTAGTGCAATGCCTAACCCTTTCTTTGTTTGCTTTTTAAAGATAAAGTTATGAACAGATTTCTATTTATGGACCAGACAGAAAGCATGTCTCAGCAGGGGACCCACAGTGGGGTAGGGGAACAATCTTATATAACATCCTCAATCATTTAAAGAATACCTGTCATTACAGAAATACATTTGCTGCCATTGCTTACCTCCTGCTGAAAATGTTAGTTGCCTAACTGCCATGCTGTTCCGTTTTCATTACCCCGTAACAGAGTTCAGCAATGGAAGTCTACATATTTGACTGACATCGGTTTCCTGTAATTATCTTCATTTTCATTCCATAGATTCTACATCATCTCCCTCAGGTGTCCCTCTTCTTTAACTTCTAAAGCTGGGAGGTACGGTGAGTGTCTGGAAGGTTAAGCGGCTTTGCTATTTCTAATGGCAGCCCTGTCTGGTACCTCTACGTTTCTTATGTTTTCAGCACACTAGGCTTTAAAAGTTGCCTACACTTGATGTAGAAGGTCCACAAGTGCATATAAAATATTATAGCTAGACTGTGCTATTTTTACGGCAAGCTGTTAACTATACAGAAATAAACATACTCAAAGTATAAAGATGTGTCTTCTTGTCTGTAAAATACTTCTTCAGATCAACATCAGGACGCTTTGCATGTTTTTCATCATAATCACCAATTACTGGATTATTATGCCTGAAGATGAAATGTAGTTTATAATCTTCTCCGCATTTGTCTGGCCCAAACATGATTGTGTATGGAGTCCTGTCATGGAATTCTTCCTGCAGAAGGCACAAAATGAAGACAATGAAAATCTTTAAAAGTTTAAAGAAAGCAAAGGAGTAGATTCACATAGTAAAGCAAACAGGGGGGTTGCTTTACTAAAGGGAAATAGGCAGTTCACTCCGCAAAGGAGTTTTTACATTGTAGGGGAATCTTCTCTTATATTAGTGGATGTGGTGAAAATTCAGTTTGCAAAGAATACCCAATCATATGCAAGGAAAAAAACAAAACAGTATTTTTGCTAGCACATGATTGGTTAATGGCCGTCAAGAGAGCGTCACTCATTCACCAAACTAAGAGGAAATTCCAAAGTGAAATTGCAAAGTGAATAACCTATTTGTGATTAGTAAATCAACCCCAGTGAGTGTAGCAGGCATCTATATTTTACTACCAACCAGGATTGATAAAATTAAGTCACTACTGCATAACATCTATGGTTAAACCATGAGAATGACCTCTAGATATGCACAGATTTATTTTGCACATACAGATTGATAATATATGGCTGCAAAAACAACAAATCAATAGCCATTTCTATCAAATCTATTCTATGCCCCTGTGTAACCATGTTTTACTCCAAGCAGATGAACATTTTTATGTAGAAGAAAGGTTTTACACCCCATTCACACTGAGCGGCATATTTCCACGCGATATCGCTCTATGTAGCTTGTCCAATGCATTTCAATGGAGCTGTTCACATCTCACGGCTCAATGTCGCCTGTAGCTCGTTGCTGTAGCTTGTCGCTCGTACCTGACCCTTTTTTGCGCGGATGTCGCGCGATTCGGCTCCTATAGACTCCATGGTGTCACGCAAAATCGCGCATTACCAGTGGTATTGCACGACTTGGTCGCACAATATCGCGCTACATTTGCACTGCAAAATGGAAGGAAAGAATGATGTCACATCAAGATCGCTGTTGATTGGTTAGAGCCCAATGTAGCAGCGACGAAGTTCGCCCAAAAAAAGCTCTCCCTTCCATGTCGCTCAGTGTGAATGGGGTGTTAAAGATGGTTTCAGCTTCCTCACAAATTGTTACATGTGTAACCATACTGTAGCACAGCAAACCAATGCAAACCATTTTCTCTTTAAAGGAGCCAGAGGGCAAATTACTAGTCAACAGCATTGCCTGTGGTTTTCCTACAGCTGATCTTTTTCCCCCATTACTGACTTCCATGCCTTGTTCTACACTGTGTCTCTGTGTGGAGCTGGTCATCTTGGTAGAGGCAGGGCTTTGCTTCCTCATGTCAGAGCCTCCAGCCGGGAGAAAAGTGAGCAGTATAGTAGTGACATCACCAATTCTCACTTCAATTCTCCTGAGACTAGCAATCAGAGGGGGCAGTGCCTGAGATCTGATACTGCAGATATACAGCTATGAGGCTGTAGGCACAGGTGTGACCAGGCACAGTCACAAATCAGGAACTGCACTGCTATATTTCAGGAGGAATTCAAGACAAAGGGTAGATATTTTGAATACAGCTAAGACACAATTATTTCTAAATGTTCCCAATAACATAGCAAATCTTCAATTCTTGAGCTCAAGTCCAATTTAATGTGTACACGTTTGCTAGGAGATCCATTCCCAGGTCTAGTACTTGTCATGTTTTGTATCTTCTTTCCACTTTTAAAAGGTGTTGGGCCATGGGAGGGTCCCCTAAGCATTCCCACTTTATGTATGTGATGTGATTGTATACTTCAGAACTATGACATGCCTTGCTGCTATGAGCAAGTATGGGCGCTCTGAGATGGATGGAGAATATTATTATTAGGCCCCATTCACATTTTTGGTTCAGTAAGTATAAATGAAGGTGAAACTGCTAAATGCATAATAACATCTGTGCCATTGCAGTCAAGGACACCGTTCACAAATTTGCACTTTTTTTTTTAAAGTCCTGCAGGCAAAATTTTGCTGCATATTTTGACAAAAACAAATCTGCTATAGAGATGAATGGAATTGGATGGAGATCGCAAACATTTTGAAATGTGATAGTGTTAACCATCCTATAGAAAGCTGAGGCAGCTGATGAAGTTCCACTTGCCTCTGCCCATTTACACTGTCAGAAGTCTTCCTTCCTCTCACCCAGAGACATATAGGGGGCAGAACATCAGGCATGGACAGCAAGAATGGCGGACCCAGGACGTCAATCCATCTACCTGAGATGGGTGGTAACAGGGTGCTATCTTACAGGAATAGCTGCAAAACTTGACCATGATCAGGAGTTTAGTGATGACATGAAACTCCCATCTATAGCTCTATATATGGAGGAGTAAATAAGAAAACATGTCTTATAACAAAATAAGATCAACTCACACACCAGATTCAGATTGCTCGAATGTGAGAGGAGCTTGATATATGCCCCTCCACAATCAATGCTGTCCTGAAAATTCACCTCATACCTGGAAAAAATAAAATAGAAATCAGGTAACTCGAACTTCTGATAATGCACAGTCAAGTAACACTTATATGGTGATACATGGGTAATGGTGATGTACAATGTCCGGTAACTGACAACTGATCAGATTACAATTTACTCCGGTTAGATCAGCAGAAGATAAAATCTGATCGGATGGTAGAGGACTTTGAGTAGCTCTTTAAAGTGTATCTAAACCCAAGAACAAAAATTTAATATAAAGCAGCTTACCAGTCCTAAGATGTGGTGGCTGCATTTGTTTTCTTTTTCAAGCTCTTATTTTCCCTTTATTTTCACCGGGTGATCCTTCCAGTACCACACTTCCTGTCCTAGAGTGACAATGCTCATTCATTTTACTGAATCTACAGAGGAGCATCACTGTCACCCCAGGACAGGAAGTATGTTAGGACTACAGAAAAACCTTCCCCTCTCCTTACCTGTATAAAATAGGATGTGTTTTCTGTAGTTTACAAAGGGAAGTGGACAAAATGGTAAGAGCAGAGACAGACAGGCACAGGCAGAGAACACAGGATGTTTTCAGCTCACTAGATGCTAGATTCTTTTTGCACTTACAGAAGATTTATAACAAGACCATTTTAATTTTAACAGACTGAAAGGGAATAAAAGTTCTTTATTAAGGACGCTTTAACCTGGCAGGCCAATTTTTTTTAAAATAACTGACAAAAGCTTTTATTTAATTAAATTGTTCAAAACGCCAGATTTCAGTTTGCAGCAGTTAAATGTAGTCAGGAAGATTAGATTGCAGTTAGAGGATAATGCACTTTGCACATTGCCTAACGTCTGTATTTAATGTGAACTATGGTGTACTGAAGGAGCTAATGATGTAAGTATATAAAGTATATTAACCTATTTTAATATATTTTGACATAAGAAAATACAACAGCTATTAAGCAGCGGTAGAAAGCAAAATGTTTACCATGCACAGAGCTGCAAATTATATTATTATTACGTCCATGAAAGGGAAGCAGATTAACTGAGAATAGTTATGCTTTAACTGAAATACCCTTCTGTTAAACACAGGTTTTACTCTGAAAAAAGTAAAAATAAACGAAAAATGAATGTTACCAAATGTTAAAAAGCAGGGAAGACTGCTTTTTCTTCTATGGTTTTTTATAGTGTGGTGGGGTACATTATGGCCGGGTTTGCAGGAAATAAATATTGTGATGTATACATTAAAAGCAACACAGATATTTACTACACAGAGGAAAGAATTGGAACGGGATATGAAGTCCCTTAGGGCTGTTTAAGGAATGATGTATAGATTTTTTATTATTTATTTATTTTTATTTTTTGTATGTTTGTTGTCTATGTTGGAAATAATAAATATATATTGAAACAAAAGCAACACAGATATTTACTACACAGAGGAAAGAATTAGAATACTCACTGGATGATGAGAGGTTTGTTTTCGAAGGCGAAAGGTTTCTGAAGCTTGGATGATATGGCATGGTGTCTGGCTGTCGACTTCAGGACCAGGCCCAAATCTCCCGACAGCTTGTTTTCTTTTAGAGCTTCTACTTTCCATTCACCTAAATAAAGAAAAATAATGAGCATGAACTAAACTCCAGCTATAAGGATTTATATATACCTACATTGGTCCAGCTTGGCACAATGCGTATACATAAATTATCCCAGAAAAGACCAAGAGGGTCCTGTAAAACACTGTAGTAGCTGCAGCTACTTTAGCGCTTTACAACAGTGGTTCTCAACATTTGTCCCTGGTCATTAAGTCGCAACCCAAGTCGCAATGCCCTGGAATGCACAGCATTGCGGTACCACACGTTCCGGTGCAGGCGATTGAACTGTGGGCGGTTGGTGCGTTTGGGGTGCCATTCGGATGAATGGCAATGCAACGCACCTCCCACACTAGAACGCGTAGTAGGTGCGATTGCAGGGTACAGTGCGTTAATCGCACAGGACTGTTCGATTAATGCACTGTACTAGTGTGAACGGGCCCTCAAAAACACTGACAGACACACACAACCACAGACACAATCTCACACACAACCACAGACACAATCTCATACACATACACGCTCCAAAAAAAATTAATTGTGATTTATTTTTTTAAAGATCAATCTGGTCTCTCTACGTTATGAGAACTGGAGTGGATCTTCAGCCTGCAGTCCAGTGTGGGCTGCTGTGCTGTGATGGAGCTCCATCCATATGTGCATTGCTTGTACAGCTCCCTTTGCACGCCCTGTAGAGGTGCTGGGAGCCAGAATGTGACGTCACTCTGGTCCAGGACCTCTACAGGACATGCAAGGGAGCTGTAAGCAATGCACATATTGGACGGAGCTCCCTAGTGGCCATAGCTGCAGCCCACCACACCCCACCTCAAGCTGACATTCAGTGCCACTGCCAGGCAGCATATTCTGAATGGCTGCTCAGCACGAGAACTTACATTGCTGCGCTAGGGGGAGGCTGAAAATCCTCTCACCCAGAAAAGTGGAAGTCATACGTCAACCCACTGAACACAGGGTCGCTACCCACTTTTGGGTCATGACCCACCAGTTGAGAACCAAGGCTTTATAACATCTTCCAGGTGCTATATTGCCACTGTGCTGAGTGACTTCCCCTCTGCTGTTAAAACACCGCAGGTCACTCGCTCATCACAGTGGCCTTTCAGTGAACGCTTAGTACTTTTATGAATTATTACTAGGTGTTCTCTTATTGGACAAGGGGTAGTACTGTAATGGAGATGGAAATCCCTCCTGGACAGTTGTCATTGGTATAGATGTTCCCAGTGGAAAATTTCACTTCCTCTACCATTGCTTTATGGCCCAGTTACAATGGTCACCAGGATAAACAGAGAGGGTGAAACTCTCCAATAAGGGCATAGAGAACAATATCAAGTCTGACATAGGTTCTATCTCTTCCCTGCTACTTTAAATGAAAGAAAACATTTTGGATATAGATACACTTTCACTTAAAGGGATCCCAGCTGGGCTAGCAAAGAAAGAGTTTTACCAAAGACTCTAGTGGCAGCTTGGCATCATATTCTAGACTTGACTGCTGTCAACTAGCTGCCTCTGTCATTAAATACACTGTAACATCACTTTGTGTAACGTTTACATGCATACAAGCGTACCACGGTAATGCAGCCTATTCGTTGCTAGAATGCAGGAAATAGTTGCATGAGTCACAGCAATTCAAAGGACACAAGACGGGCAATAGCCACCAGCACCCTAGTAACAGAAGGACCCTAGGTGGCAATAGCCACCTGCTTCCTAGCAACAGAGGGACACTAGGCAGCAATAGCCATTGGCATCCTAACAACAAAGTACACTAGACGTAATGGCTGCCTTCTTCCTAGCAACAGAAAGACACCAGGAGGCAATAGCCACCTGTGTCCTAGCAACAGATGGACTAGGGTTGCCACCTGTCCAGGATTCACCCGGACAGTCCAGGTTTTGAATGCTGTGTTAGGGTTTCATGGCAGCTGAAACCCCGACACAAGTTGTCAGGCAGACAGGGGCAACCAAAATTAAGATAGGGGGTTACTGGCCCCCCACTGGAAATAGTCTTGACTGTGATATTTACATATGAATGGGTGGCGCTATTTACATATGAATAAGCCGTTGCTCATTCTCCCTCAAAAAAATTCTTTGCTAGTGTTTAGGTTTTGCTTGAAGAAAAGGTGGCAACCATAAGATGGACTCTAGGTGGCAATAGCTGCCTGGGTCCTAGCAATAGACGGGCACTAGGCAGCAATAGCTGCCGTCAGCCTAGCAATGAAGAACACTAGGCAGCAATGGCTGACAGTGTCCTCACAAGAGAAGGACCCTAGGTGGCAATAGCCGACTGCTTCCTAGTAATGAACAACACTAGATACCAATGGCTACCTGCTTCCTAGCAACAGAAGACTCCTTTTCATGGCTATAATGCAGGCAGTTCTTGTAATACAGTACATTTGTGAAAATGTGTACATGCACACTGTAAAATACGGCCCATCTGCAGGACCATGGATGCAGATATTTCTATTCTGATTTTATGAAACTGAATGCAGCACAAGTGTACTGATCTTTACGTAGCTGTGTGCTTGGGGCCATAGCAAAACATACACCTGCTTTTAGATACCTAAAACAAATTGTTAATGCTGCATTTTTGTGGCTGTGTGTATGAGCCCTTAAAGTAGTTATTCCTTCAATTTGAGTGGCTCTTTGTTATTAAACTTGTAAAAGCAAGACTAGTGTGAAGCGGTGAACACACTATTATCTTCTTCTCAATATAAGGCACATTTATCTGGAAGAGACTGTCCTCTTACATACGTGCCTGGGGGATGACATCTTTATGTATGATGGTGAGCTTTTCATAAATGTAGCATTTTCTAGCTCACATCATGTTGGCACACTAATGGGACACAGCTATGCCGACATGAGGAGAGCCAGGAAAGGAAAATGACGGTAACTATTTTAAAATAATTTTCAGTTTTCCTGGCTCACCTCATGTCGGCATAGCTGTGTCCCATTAGTGTGCCGACATGAGGAGAGCCAGGAAAGGAAAATTACGGTAAGTATTTGATAACAATTTTCCGTTATAATTATATCATCTTAAGTGGATATTATTGGATATCAACAAAGCCAGGAAAGGAAATATATATATATATTATACACACACATATAATACAGCACAAGAGTAGGATGCATTGTTAGCATGTGTTACCATGGCAGGATTTGTTTGTTGTGTTGCTATGGTAAGAAGGAACTGTAATTATTCTGTATAGGAGTCTATGGTAGCAGCCTGCAGGATATGCAGGATGCTTTACTACATCAGGTATCTATGAAGCCATTGTAATGATGATATTGTTACTATATAATTTCTTCAGCAAGATCTTTCTAAGAAAAAACTTGGTGGAAACACATTTACAGAATAGAGATTCCTAACATATTTCTGTATCTGGTACATCATGTGCATCACTCACTCTCTTCCTTTTCCCTGTGTAAAGCTCACCACACATGTTACAATCTGACTGTACAAACTCTTTCAGATTTACCAACAACTATGTAGTGCAAAGGTCATATACTGGTCAACTTTCTTCCAAGTCCTGCTGACTTGGTCAAAATTGGACCACTTAACAAAAGTCCAGCTCCTTCAAAAGTTGTTTTTGAAGGAGCTGGTTCCAAAAATCTTGGCTGAACAGTGATGGCAGCCAGACAGCTGCCATCACTGTTCAGGTATTCTGACAGCACCACACCCACTGCTGTCAGAATACAATAGCCCAGCAAGAGATTACCCCATTTAGCATGGATGGGGTAACAGCATGGATGGGGAACAAGACATACTCATAGTGTAGGGCCAGACTGAGAGTCTGCCTGATTGCATACAGATTGTTTGGTTGCCAGGTTAGGTAGGTTCTCATGTTGCATAGTTTTGGTAAATCTAAAGTTGATTGTACAAAGATTGTATGTTCAGAATGTAACGTGCATGGCGAGCTGTATCCTTCCAATCAGGAGTGTCACTAGCCTATTTGCTACCTTAGCTGGGCGGGGAGATGTATATTGCCTTTACACACTGCAAACAGGACATGTGATCCAAAGAGATGCTGCCTAAGGCTGCAAAATGAATGAATGTGTTAATAAAACTGAAACTACATGCCAGATGCATGAGCTTTGTCCCACAGTAAATCTGATAGTTTAGTTTTGGCATATAATTTATAAGGACTTCCCATTTACAATCTTCAGTTATTCATTCTTGGATGTACTGACCGGGTGACATGTTGGACCATTAATTTTTGCAGAATATGCTATATTGATGGACCTACATACTGTAGCTCGGTTTGATACACTCACTAAAGATCGGTGTCTGTTGTGCATCAAAAGATATAAAGTTAAAAAAGAACTCACATCGATAATCTGCACTATTACTTAAAAGTTACTAAGAAGTATTGACTGGATACATGATGGACCAGTTATTTTCACTCCAACCTTTCGAAGGCTGCGTTCACACCTGACCGTTTTGTAGCGCGTCCTACGCTCGACGAACGCGCTACAAAACGGTCAAAAAAATAAATAGCATTGTAGTCAATGCCCTCGTTCCCACCTAGGCGTATTTCCGCCCGTCCCTAACGCCCTACAAAACGGCCCACGCCTGAAAAGGTCCCGGGACTACTTTGGGCCGTTTTGTAGGGCGTTTTCCATTGGGATACAGCCAAGTAGCCTTTGGAATCGCGGTAAAAAAACGCGTGACGGTCGCGCGACAGACGCGCATATTACAATACACCTAGGTGTGAATGGGGCCTTAGGGTCTGTGTCGCTTAGCTTTGGGCTTGTGTTAATGGGCTAATTCAGATTGCTATTGTGTTGTTGTGTGCCTTTTGCTGGCATTTGAGATTAGTTGGAGATGCTTCTGGGATCATTCAGAGTCCAGTGACGGGGGATTTGACTTGAAGTTAGGGCTGACACCTTATCTGGGAAAAAACATCAGCTTTATGGTCTATTTACTATGAATAGTCTTGCTAAAATTTTTACCAGCCAGGAGGCAACCGCACCTGAAGTTGACCTCCTCCATGACCTCATTCTAACCTGCATCAACTCGCTGATGTCAGACAGGGGATTCTGCCACTGGCGACCCTGCCATTGGTGACCCTGCCATTGGTGATTTGTCAGAATTACTAAGAAGCTGCATATCTCTATGGAATAAATCCCCTGCAGCTCAGACGAGATGTCGCTCCCATGCTAGTGATGGACATTCACAGCATTCAAGCCAACAACAGAGCGACATCTCTCTGCATCTAGTTACAGAGGGTGGATTCCATAGGGGCAGACAGGCAACGTCTGTAGTAATCCTACCACTGATGATGTGTCTATAGCAGAAGAATCACCCGTCTGACATTAGCCGCACGCTACTTTTGCATTTCCACTGTCTTGTATGTAAAGTTTGTTGAGGTCCTAAATACATGTTTTACCCAATTCAGTAGAAATTCAGTATTTAACCATTAAGCAAATGTCAAATAGTTATAACATTTCATTGTTTCTTTTAGGCTACATTCACATTAGGTGTGAAAGTGTCTATAGGGACTCCTGCGGCAGGAACCTATGAATTTCTGCAGCAAGAATTCCAAATATACTGTTTAGAAGTGGCTGCTGTCACCCGTTTAAGTTAATGATCCGGTGACAGTGGCCGCATTTCAAAGCAGCAGTGCTCCGGCACCCCACATGTAATCGTACGTGATACAATTACATGTGGTTAGGGATATATCACTATCCCTGGACCCATCAACGTATCACATTACATTAATTATTACAATTACATGCGGAGTGCCGCTTTCAAATGTGGCCACTGTCACCCAATCAATAACTTGAACCGGTGACAGCGGCCGCTTCTGAACGACATATTTGGGATACCTGCTACAGAAATTTGTAGGTTCCTACCGCAGGAATCTCTAAACACACACTAACACTATAGAGTGAATGAAGCCTTACAGTTTTCCATAAGTTGGCATTCTAGACAGACAGGTTTAAGATCCAGCCTACTTTTACTGTGTACTGTACTTGTATAACTATCCAACCAATTTTACTGACTGAGTTGTAATGTCTGAATGTCAGAAATAAGAAAAAACACATTTGGGTGATATCAGTCTAATGTATTTATCAATTCACCAATGTGTCAAACTTCGGGGAGACATTTGCTTGTTAATGGCCAGCTCAACAATTCCTCTAGTCTATCAAATGAACAATGCACCTATTCTCAGTCTATTTCCTACCATCATATTTGGCAATGTCTTCATCAGTATCTTCCTTCATTGTTCTAGAAAGCACCCAACTGAAAAAATGAACACAAATAATTAATGACCTAGGTCTTGATGGCCTGCTTTCATTTTTATGAAAGTTCAGTTTAACAAGCAAATGCAATCACAAAAAAACAGAACTGCATCATTTTACACTTACAACAATCTAATATAGATACATGAATTAAAAGGTAGAGAATGATTAGCATCTGAGTGACATATTGTAGATTATATGAAAACACTTTTTTGGCCGACGGCCCACACTGGGAGTAAAGGAGCTTAGCGGATAACATGGCTTCAGAACTGAGTGAGGCCAAGCAACTCACAGAAGCTCACACTTGTCCAGATTACATAAACAGCATCCCTTCTGGCACATGACAGACTTTTCATACTCAAGGTCCAGGCCTGGTAATTGACATTTATAATGTTTTAGATGATAAAGGACATCATAATAGCACATGGTTCTTGTCATATAAAAGTCAGTTTAATATGCATATTAAACGGTGTATATATTATTTTACGAGCCTGTAAGACCAGGTCTAAACCACCTATGCAGCTGCAATCAGTCAGCAACAGATCACTATTAGACATGATCTATTGCTGTAAGGAGAGGCTGGACTGAGCTGTAACAGTTTTGTCTTGGCCTCCATACTGACAGGAAGTGCCATGATGTCACACTAAGTTCCAAATAAAAACATTGTAAAGCTTCATGCTTACATTGGCTTCTACAGAGTGCTCCTATGGAACACTCTGTAGAAGCACTGGAAGATCAGGACTGTTTCAGCTCCTGGGATTAGTGCTGGGTCCTGTCTGTCACTGACAACCTGCAATTCTAGAGCTAGTGTCGGCAGGGGTTGACTGGAACCTCTGAATCTGGGTGCCATATCTAGGACAAATAGCCACTGTCCCTGCACAGTTCCAGGGACTCACCCGAGTGCACGATGGGTCAGTCCGCCCCTGGGTATAAAGGGAAGTCTGGAGTCAAGTTCTGATGAGTATGGACTTACTGATTTCAAGTGCCATGTTTTTCATTCTTTTTGCCTTCTTTGTTGCATCTCAGTGCTGCTGATCGCCTTCAACCATTTCTTGTCTACATGTATGTGATCAAGCATTGGTTGCGCATCATTGCCCAGCTTCCTGATACTGACAAATGTGGACCATGTCTCCACAATGAGTGTTAGAATGGGCATTTGTAGTCTCCACCAGGCTTGTAAGTGACAATGTGAAACAAATGGAATCTTCCAGGCAGGCTCACCAGGTAACCCTTTAACTACTAGCCATCCATACGAACGGCAAGCTCCCTAAAACGGGGCACCCTAAATTGAAGGCTTTTTTCTTTCTGCTTGAGCGCACAAGCAGAGCACACTGACAGTTGTGAACAGCCGGTAACCGCTGTTACATAGAAGCTTTCGGGTGGCTCTACAGCCATCTGATCGCTTGTACGGTGGCCTACAGTGTGGGCACCCCTTTTTCAGTGCCGTTTAAGTCCCCCGACCCTATGTATATGCACATATAAATTCGCACTAGGTGCGCCAACCCGCAAAAAAAAACAATTGGGTCACACATGTTACATATTGCTGCAAAAGTTAAAGTGCGAACAATAATTCTAGGGCCATCAATCACTAATAGCACTAAAATGATGAGTAGTAAAAGCTTTTAAATTGTTGCCCATGAGCAATTTTGGGTATTGTATTTTTTTGCGGTTTCGCGGGTGCACAATTTTAAGGCTCGACATGTTTGGCGTTTATTTACCCCAAAAATGTGGTTAGTAATACATGTTTCATAATATAATGTAGGGGAGAACTGTTTTTTTCCACATTTTTGGTAATATTTCTTTAATATAGTAAAAATAAAAACCCCAGTGGTGATTAAATACCACCAAAAGAATGAAATGGTATAAAATGTATTTCAGTACAGCGTTGCATGACGGAATAAATGTCAGTCAAAGTACCGCGGCGCTGAATACTGAAAAATGACCTGGACAGGAAGGGGGTGTAAACACCTCGGTCTTCAAATGGTTAATGAAAGTTGCATATTTAAAAAGATTCAAACAACTTTTGAAATCACAATAACATGCTAGATCTTATATGAGATTTTAGTGTCTGAGTTTAGATCTAATGATATACTTAGGAGTGCTCACTCCTACCAGTAGACATACCCATTCAGAGTTTCATCATCAAATGTCTCTGCAAAGAACACATCACCACTAGGAACAGGTGTATGGTATGGAACCTGATATGAAAGAAAACAAGGATCAGAACACATCTCGTATGCTAAAGGTCTCAGAAGAGGATGCATGATAAGAAACAGTATACATATACAAAGGTTTTTACTGGCAATCAATGTTCTGTATAAATTGATCTTAATGTGCTCACAAGATAACATTTAAAAACTTTATTTCTCATATGCAGGGGACATAACAAATATTATTGGGTAACTAAAGCGAAAGGAAACCCCCGTGCCCAATCACATTGTTAAACATCTTTAATCAAAAAGCTTGGCATCAGTTAAATGTTCCCGGTCAATGAGGACAAAATGACAAAGGCTAATCTAAAATCTTTGTATATTAGATTATTCTGAGCCAGACCGGCTGCAAGCACACAATATAATTAGAATTTCTCAGGCCACAGCTATGCAAAGGTTCTGATATGATCATATCTCTACCCCAGCACCGTATTAAAGCCTTTGTTGCTCTGTAACAGCTCCATAGCTGTTTGTGTCTTTTAAACATAGTTCAGCTAGAGCAGAAACATTGGCAACAACTTAGACAAAAGCTAAAGAGTCCAGACTGAGATCTGGGTTGAGAATTATCATTACACCATGTGTCAATAGAAACTTATATTAACATAATCTCTAAACTACAGTTGGTATATGGGTACTTCTCAGGGCCAGCTGACCATTAGAGACTAAGGTTGGCCATACACAGGTATCAGTCAAACCTCCAACAGTGGGTGGCGCTGCCGGCTCAACAAAAGTTGAAGAAGCCAGGCTGGAAATGTTTGGCCAAATGGGGACTGCAGCCAGCTGCAACTGGTTGTTGTACTGGAGCTTATTTAGAGGTGTGACAACAGGATGCCCATGTATCGAAGAAAAAAAAACTAAGATTTCTCCATCCACTCTAAACAGTGTGTATGGATGAATCTACCCCTGCGGATATTGTAATCTGACGGGCAGGTGCCGATTGTCAGAATACAATAGCTGCAGCAGGAGATTTGTCCATACACATGGGTTAGAGTGAATGGAGAAATCTGCCTGCAGCCTGAAACAAAAAAAAGTCTACTAGTGTGTGACCAGCTTAAATATCTGTCACACTATACCACAAACTGTTCCTGAAGTTTTTAAAAAGCCGCTTTGCATAGGTATCTCTCATGGCTTCCAACATTACAAGATTTTATGTCACTGATCTACCGTAAGTAGTCCATATCCCTATCCCACCTATCCACCTACCCAGCATACCCCACCTCAAACTAACCACTCAACCATCACATTCTCAAACAATTCCTCCCCACACAGCTACCTCCTCGTGTATCACTTGCTCCTCCCTTTCAGATTGTAAGCTCTCACGGGCAGGGCCCTCCTTACCATCTTGTCTTGAAATGTATTGTGATTATAATGTCTTCCTTATATTGTAAAGTGCTGCGCAAACTGTTGGCGCTATATAAATCCTGAATAATAATAATATAATCAGGGAGGAAAAACATCTGCATCATTTTCTAAATGCTATATTGAAAAAATAGATACTGTGTGCAGTATGTCTTAGATACATCGGCATCCTGCTGCCAGATCTCTAAATAAGCTCTAATACAAGAACAAGTTACATTCAGAAATCACACGATTAGCTGAATACAATCCACTTTTGTTTAGTTACATATCATAGAATCCAGGTTTTTGGGGCAGCATCAAATTGATTATTAGAAAGAGGAAAGAACCTAGCACGATGTGAGTCTCCCTAGAGAAGGCTTTCCACTAAAATTCAGTGATCAGGTGAGAGAAGTAACCAAGAAGCCAATGGTAACTAATGTAGCTGCAGAGATCCACAGCTGAGATCAATTTAGTGCAAACATCTATGAATATTAGTAAGCCCTGATAACGCCATCTTACTGTGAAGCATGGTAGTGGTAGCCCCACGTTGTGGGGATGCTTAAACATGGCAAAACTCCCCAGACTTGACAGCAAGATGGTTATAGTCAAATACAGGGCAATGCTAGAGGAAAAAAAAATTCAGTCTGCTAGGGACTTGAGATTGGGAAAGAGGTTTAACTTTCAACAGGACCATAAACACATTTCCAAAGTTATAGTGATGTGGGTTGGAACACGGAATCTGAATGTATCCAGTCATGTATTTGAATAGTCCAGTCATAAATCAGACCTCAATCCGATTGAGAATCTATGGAAAGACCTAAAAAGTACTGTTCACTAGCGGTCCTTGTCCAGCCTGACAGAGCTAGAGAAATATTGCCAAAAAGAATAAGCAAAAATAGCAGGATGCAGGCGTGCAAAGCTGCCAGAGGATTCACATCTGTTATTAGAGCCAAAAGATGGTTCTACCACCATTTTGAACTCGAAATGTCTGCTTTTTTGAACTTTGTGTAAAAATAAAACAATAATATAAAAATATGATGCACATTTACTGTGTCAGATAATGCGTAAATCAAATGGTACAAATGCAGTTCATTTAATTACAGGCTGTTACATTACATAATGCAAAAAAAGTTCAAGGGGTGAATACATTTGTAAAGTACTGTTCATACATTATTACGTGATGTAAAACCATACATACATCCAAGAAGCTCCTATTTTGTTCAGTTTCTGCTTCTTCTGTTGACTCTAGCAGTTCATCATCCTCTTCATCTATTCTGTCATTGGCTTCTGCTGCTGCCAAAGCAATAAGTACACAGGCCAGATATATACAACGCCAACGAAGCTGCATTGTGAAGCACTGAAAAGCAGAAGATTGTCAGAGCAAATCAATGGCAACTAATATAAAGTACATAACATACACCACAGCATATCTGTGGTGTATAACACAAGCACAGACGATGTTATTCACATTATTATTGCATTCAGATGCAAAGACAATTATATTCTTGGAAATTAGTGGCAGTTTACAGTAGATGCATGTCAGATAGCCAATTTGCATACCAGTAAAAAAGGGTTAAATGACTTGGGGCTCATTTCCACCAGTCCGTGCGCTCATCGCACTCTCCCGTGCCCGGAAACACAAGGGATCGCATACACAATGTCTCCGTGCACTCTGGGGCGGGAGGGGGCGTTCCAGTGCCATTCATGTCAATGGCACTGTAGACAGGCCCCCCGCCCGCAGTGCGATCGGCCGCACAGGACCGCGTGGCAATACAATGCCCTGCATTCCAGTGCAGTACGATCACAAAAAATAGGTCATGATCCCGTGCTCTGAGAAACAAAGTAGAACTCTACACTTAGGTCAGGTTCACACCATTTTCCGGACCAGATCTGAAACGCGGTGCATTTAGTTTTGCAGCATTTTTACCATGATTTTACAGAGTGTGTTTTTTTTTAGCTTCAAATGTGCTTTCAGATGTGTTTCGATGCATTCCATTGCATTTGCATGCTTTTTTGATGCATTTCCATGCATTCCAGACCAGGGAAAATGAGACACCCAGTATTTTTTTTTGTCTGGTCTGGAACGGACTGTGCTGGTGTGAACAAAGCCCAGAAATACCATAGGGATACATAGGGATGCTTTTTTGGTCCGGGAACAAACTGTTCTGGTATGGACATAATCCGGACATGGTGTGAACAAGCCCTAAATCTTTGTTAGATGCACTACAGTCAGATAGTCAGTTTGCATACCTGTAAAAAAGGGTTAAATGAACAAAGTAAAACTCTATACCAAATCTTTGTTTTTGACCAAGTAAGTAAAAGTTAGATTCTTTGTCAGGTTTTTATTTCTGATCCACCCCCACTCTTTGATATGACCACCACAGAATTAGCTCTTAACAAATTCTGCATTGACTACTGCAGCTGTAGGCAAACTGACAAGGCTTGACCTTGAAATCTGGATAGAGTGTACAACACCTAAAAAAAATAATCTTACCCAAAATTTATGCAGCATTCAGAGGTGTTTTAGAAAAAAAAAGTGGAGCCATTTACCCTGCAAAACTGCATGCACATTCATTCTATGTAAATGGGACAAAAACAAATGTTATTAGTATATTTTCCTTCCCGTTTAAATGTAATATCAGCAAAAGACTGCATTATGGCCACTAGATGGAGATAAGGATTCATATAAATTAATGAATAGGTATTTATTTCCTATGTTCCTTGCCTTTATCCAGTGACCATAATGCTGTATTTTCCTGAATCTACTTATAACAATCGTTTTTGCCCCTATTCCCACAGGATGAATGTACATGCCATTTGGCAGGATGAATGGCTCTGCAATTTTTTTATATATATATCTCCCTAATTGTGGTATTAACAGCTTCACCAGATTTCACCTGATGAGAATAAAAGCAAAAAAAACCCTGAAAAAAAATAGAATGCATCTAAGGACTGCAATGTATTAAACTTTTGTTTTGGGATTTGTATACACCTAAGAATTGAAGCATTGTATGCGTTTATATTGACTTTGAAATATATCACTTTTTTAATCTTTACTGGGAAAAAACAACATATAATAAAAAGGTAAATCAGAGATCTGGGATTTACCCAGAGTGTGAATTCTACAATGGTGTTCATCGCACCTTTGCTTATTATTGCTATTGCTATAATTAAAAGCTCCGTGCTACCTCTATCAGCATCCACAGTTTATATACGACTAATTGCTGATGATCACAAATGATCCTTCTCTCTAGATACCTGAAGGACTCCAGAGAGTATATGATGGCTGCTCTCTCTGGTAGTACACAATACACTTCTTATATTCACTGTTCAAACACATCCATCCATGCTATTTCAGTAAATGATAATACCTCCTAAAGAGCCACCGTAAATAGTTGTTTTATTAAAATTCCCAAGAAAAGGAAGTCATCAGCCTTCAGTGCACCCCAATTCTTCAGTCTTTGTATTGCTCCTTTAGCTCTGACAGTGCCCATAGGCACCAGCTCTTTGTTTGGATACACCTAGTTCTGACACCCTGGAACAGCAAAGTGACCGCAGGGCTTGAATGACTGCAAGAAATCTTACAAACACAGTCAACAGAATACAAAAGAATCTGGTTGCAGGTATTTGGAAAATTTCCTTTGTCAGTGTCAAGGTATAAGGGCAGTAATTTAAATACAGTAATTAAAAACACCATTTAAAATTAAAGGAGAACTATGGGGTCAGTGTTTTTCCCCATAGTTCTCCTTAGGGTAACGGGAGGACACAAACTAGCGTCCTCCCGTTACCCTAAGCTCAGTATACCGCGAGCTACAGCTCGCGGTATACTGAGACGCCGCACCTGGAGCGGATCCCGACTTAGATGACGGGATCCGCCCAGCTACGTGAGTGACAGCTGGCTCTGCCTATCTAGAGGCAGAGCCAGCTGTACCCGCCCCCTCCCCCATCCGTTCCGCCAGTCAGCGCTGGCAGATCGGAGCGGGGAGAGGGGAATCCAGCCCCTCCCCCTGTCACGGCAGAGAGCCGTGACAGGATCGAGAGGTGAGGGAACCCGGTATGTTTTCCCTCACCTCCCGATCTACTGAGCCGACCTGTGACAGTCTCATTGTCACAGGTCGGCTTAGAACTATGACGTGAGTGGAAATCACTCATCTCATAGTTCTCCTTTAATCAATATACTATTCCTTCAAAACGTTGACAACATTTTTAAAGTAGAATTATGGGGTGAGTTAAAAACACTCATCCTCATAATTTAAGCTGACATGGGATACTGAAGCTGTCACAGGTCGGCTCTATTGATTGAGAAGTCAGCATACACATACCACTGATCGCTGACTTCCCGATCCTCTTCCTGCAGGGAGTGGTGACTGTCAGTCACCGCTCGCCATAGGGATTCCCCCCTCCCCCTCCGCTTTTCTAGTGCTAACTGGAGGAACGGACGGGGGTGGGCACAGCTGGCACTGCTTTTAGAGGGGATGAGCCAGCTGTCAATTAGCCAGCTGGGTGGATCTCTGCAGTATTGTCACAATCCGTGCCGGCTGTGGCTCGGCTCTGTGGTCTCAGCATATAGCGGCCAGTAGCCCCCTATATACTGAGTTTTGGGTCACCGGAGGATATTAGTACATGTCCTCCTGTGACCCTGAAGAGAACTATGGCCAAAAGGGTTAGACCAGTGGTGGCAAACCTTGGCACTAGAGCTGCAACAATTATTCGATTAAGTCGATTAAAATCGACGATGGAAAACGTTGTCAACGTTTTCCATCGTCGATTCGTCGGCTAAAATTCAAATTTCCCGCTCGCCGCTGCACGCCGGTCATGCACGCTGCTTACGCCCGCCGCTTACGCCACGCCCACGTCAGTTAAGCCACTCGCGCCTACGCTGGTATACCCGCTCACACGACGCCGCTTACGCCACGCTGAGGACATGCGTCTGGCCCTCTCCTCCTGGTGAGCTTCCC